AACCCCCCCGACCAAAAAATTATTTTTTTTCTGTTTTTTCTGTTTGTGGGGGTGGGGCTGGGGTTGTGCCACCGCATGGCGCTTCCCACATCACCAACCCCCCTCCCCGCTGGCCGCCACGGGTCCGCGAAGCCGCGCGCCCCACGGACTCGTCCGCGGTTGTCCGCCGCCGTGGGAGATTCATAGGCACTAGTGTGCTGGGGTATGCCGGTAATGATATGATTCTCTCCTGACTAGAGGCTTAACTTGCTAGCTGATTACCATCCGTCCTCTGTGAATTAGCAAATGCTGAGTGTATTGCAGCAATTGCCAGTGTCAGGCTGGAGCGGACCCTTTCGGTTGGTCCTGGTTTGTCTATAGTTTCTGAATGCTTGTCGTTTACCGGTAAGCTGACCACGTGGTGTTTTAGTCACATAGTAGCCTAGAAAGATCACCGGGTCAACTTGGCCAGAGGGGTCGACAAAATGCTACCCTCACTTAAGTTCCAGCCAGGCACAGGCTGGCCACGTCCTGAGCGACGTGGTCTGTACAATCTCTCACACATATTCCGTGAGACCCTTTGCAATTCATGGAGAGTTGAGATTCACAAGGATTTTACATGTACAACACCGACCTCTGTACCATGTGATTTCAAGTCGGGTTCTTCGTCGCGCCCATTTAGAACTTCAGCCTTCAGTGTCAGTTATTCAGAAGGAACTAAATGTGGAGTTGGACCAGCACTGAGAAGTAGGTTGGAGCTTGGGTGTGGCATACTGCGTAGCCACACGGGCCCTGCAGGGCCCGTCCCGGACATTCAGCCTAAAAGCCTAAAACCTAGGGCTTACAGGCCCTGTTCGTTTCAGCGCGAAAGCTGAAAAACGAGGGCCTGCAGGCCCTACTCCGTTTCAGCCTATTTCTGGGTCTTTCAGACCCAGAGTTTTTCCAGCCTGAAACGGAGGGCCATTTTCAGGCCCTCGTTGTTTCAACCGCCCCTAAGACTCAGGCACGTAAACAGGGATGCGGAACAGGCCAGAAATAGCCTGTTCCTCACGAGCTTGAGCAGGAGCTGCAGCGGCAGCCCCTGCCTCCGATCGGCATTGGCAAGAGAAGCCACCTGGACTGCTCGCCTGCAGTCAGGAGGCACCCGTGGTAGTTCATAGGGCTTCCCAGGCACTTCACGGGCAGGTAGTTTCAGTAGGCACGAGTAGTCTTCAGGATTCGGCCGCAGCACTCAGGAGGAGCGCTGCAGTAGTCTTCAGCGCTAGGTAGTAGTTAGCGCTAGTAGTAGTCTTCGGCGCTGGGCGCCCATAGCCATAGCTGTAGTCTTCAGCGCTGGGCACTATGATAGGTGGTAGATAGTAGAGTTGGGAGAGACACTGGCGGAGGCCAGTGGTACTTACCTGTGGCGCCATCGCTCCAGCTCCATCTGCGAGGTA